CTACCACACTCACATGAAAAATTTGCCAGCTGGTCAGTGTTATACAACCAGTGTATAGATGAGTCCGGTTGATCATGGGACTTTGAAATTATAATATGGTAAAGAGGAAGACTTACCTCGAATGAGTAACAAAGTCATAGGTGGGCACGTCCACTATTTGTCCCTCTAGGATGCTGGTGAGAGTTTGGTTCATCAAATCGTTATCAAAAGCATCTGTAAGGAGAGTAATGAAAGGTCTACTAAGTAGGATACAGCATAGTGGGTTGCAGACCCCAGCCATCGAGCTCCCAATGTTGCTCAGAAGGACATTATGGAAGAGATCTACATACCGGGAGGTTTAACCCTTTCGCTGCCAAGGACGTACGTCGTACGGAGCTACAAAAGTGCTTCCAGCTCAGTACGTCTCAGTACGTCGTACGGACCTGGCATTTACAGTTCTACTATAAGCTGATGGTCACTTTAGCGACCATCAGCTTATAGTAGAACTGTTCAGCAGACTGTCCCCTTTAAATTAATAGCTGTCATCAGCGGCTCACAAGCCGCTGATGACCGCTAATTTTAAAAATACCGGGCGCCCCCCCCGCCAAGTAGTTGGATGAGTTTGCAATCAAGGTAATAACAAGTTAGTAATTGCCCCCAAAGGGAACTTTAAGGGTCAGCCCGCCCATAACTGCTATTTTACTTGTTAAAAGACTCGAGAGTTAAGCCTCCCGACAGCCTCCCTAACATCCGTTTTGCTGATCTGAATGCATCGTCCAGTATTCCTCACCGGAACCTTTTTGTAAACTGAAGAACTGTAATCCAGTGTCATTGCCAACCAGTCCCCTCATAGTGACACCATCCCACCGCTGCAGTATGGTGGAGCCTGAGAGAACAGCCAACGGAAGTGTCCTTGTCACCCAGGCAGTGACATAGACAACCTTCTCCTCTGCAGTGAGGAAGATGGAAGACTTGGGTCCAGGCATATCACATGACCATACATTTAGTGGCTTTTAGGTGAAGTTGCATCTTGTTTTTGTGTGTAGCCTTGGCTAGAATATATGGACATATTCTATTAGAAATAAAGCCTTAGTAGTGACCTACACGTAGTGTACTCCTTATATTGGTGCGAGTCAGGCCAGCTCGGGTCCGCTTTCACTGTTTGATCAGTGTTTAGGGTTATCCTATATACAGTGGGGCAAAAAAGTATTTAGTCAGCCACCAATTGTGCAAGTTCTCCCACTTAAAAAGATGAGAGAGGCCATATAAGGATGCTGACTGTGTTTGTCTATTATACAAATGGCTAAGAAAATCTACAGATGTGTACATAAGGAGCCATCATGGTCATATGGCTGAACAAGCACAACAATTTCCCTTTCCTGCTGTTCCAGTAATAAGTGTATTTCCTGTCACTTTCTGCCCCGGTGACAACAGCCATCGGGACAAACGGAAAGCCAGAATCCAACTGTTGCTAGCGGACTCCCAGAACTTGCCAGTCCCAGCTACAACAGATCTGTAAATATTATTATTATTATTATTATACAGGATTTATATAGCGCCAACAGTTTGCGCAGCGCTTTACAATGTAAGGAAGACATTACAATCACAATACAATTCAAGACAAGATGGTAAGGTTCATCAGGGAAAAACAAAGCCCTAAAGATAAATCATAGTGAATTACTCTACTCACCGGGATGATCAAAGTTGTACTGGCCCTTGAGGGCCCGGCCCTTCTGTTCGGGGGTCAGTACCTTGTAGAACCTATCCTGGCTTAAAATGACAACTTTCCGTTGTTTGTGGTCCACCTCGTTCTGGCCCAGGAGCTCCATGATCTTCTCGCATACTGTTGACTGTAAGAGTCAGACCATTAATACACAGACTCTGGATGGACACAGCATGGAACCTTCCGGCTAAAAACGCACATTAAAACTAAACATATTACCAAGTAATGTATACGGCACATAAGAGGGACGAGACCATTACTGCTCGTGAATGTCTGGGCAAAACAAAATATTTTCAATACATTCCCATTTTCCTGCTTCACCACTTTAGCATGTTTGATCTACCAGAAATCCAGGGAGCTCCTAACTTTCTGTTTTTGCACCAAAGCAAAATCTGATGCACTGAACTCCCAAACCAACGTTGTCATCCCTGCCTGCCAGACTACAGAACTCCCCCCTATCCTCCTCTTTGTCCCCCTCCACATGCATACATTGATTTCTTTCCCAGCAAAACAGTGCTGCTGCCTTGACTGCCAAGAGCGTACCCACTTATGGCTTGCTGAGAAAGGGCTTTTGGGAGATGTAGCTCTGGGTGTGTACCTCCATCAATAGGAACAGAGCTGCCAGCAGCTGCCCCTGCAGCAATTTTACAAGTCTGATGTCACAGAGAGTAATAAAAGCTGATTACTGCTACATTGGGGCATGCTCTGGGGAGAGGGAAAGAAGGAGTTTGGGGGGTAAATGGGGGTAATGTCTAGAGCTGCAGCTAACGATTATTTTCATAATCGATTAGTTAGCCGATTATTAAGTTCGATTAATCGGATTTAAAAAAAAAGAGGCTCCAGTGATGGACTATTAGTTTGTATTGAGATTGTAGTCCATCACGGGAGCAAGCTTGGAGCGGTGGAAGTAAAAAAAAAAAAGTGTGGTGTGCAATATAGTACATTATAAAGCGGCGCAGTGCAGAATACCAGCAGCTATAGAGGAATGCAGCAAATCGCAGCAATAGTACATTATACTATAATGTATTATTGCTGGGATCTGATGTATTCCTTTTATAGCTGGCGTTATTGGAGAGAACGGATATGATGCAGGAATGTAGAGCCGCGTGTAGAGCCCCGAACAGGGAAATCAATTGATAGCCGACGAATCGACGATCGAAAACGTTGGTAACGTTTTCAATCGTCGATTTTAATCGACTAAATCGATTAACTGTTGCAGCTCTAGTAATGTCTGGACATACACTCTAACCCTGTGGTTCTCAACCTGTGTAACCTCAGGACCCACATTTGTTCTTGGTCATTAAGTTGCGACCCAGGTCGCACTGCAATGGAACGCACAGCATTAGGGTACCATGTTTTCCGGTGGGAGTGTACAAACTGTGGGTGTGAGGTGAGTTTGGGGTACCATTCAAATGAATAGCAACGCAACACACCTCCCACACCAGAATGCACGGTAGGTCTAATTGCATGTTACAATGCGGTAATCACATGGGACTGTGTGATTAACGCGCTGTACTAATGTGAACAGGCCCTCAAAATTACTGACATACATACACAACCTCACACACTCAGACATTCTCACACCCATACACACTCCAAACATTTTTTTTTTAAAGGTCCACCCAGTCTCCCTACATTACGAGAACTGGAGTGGATCCTCAGCTTGTGGTCCAGTGTGGGCTGCTTTGCTGTGACGGCGCTCCATCCATACATGCATTGCTTGTACAACTCCCTTGTGTGCCATGTAGAGGTGCCGAGAGCCAGAATGTGACGTCACTCCTGTCCAGGCACCTCTACAAGACACGTGAGGGAGCTGTAAGCAATGCATGTATGGATGGAGCGTCCTCGTGGTCATACTCCCATCCTATCTAACATTAAGCTGACACTCGGCTCCGCGCATCATATTTTGAATGGCTCCTTGGCGCGGGCACTAACAGGGCTGTGCTGGGGGGAGGCACAGGAGCCTATCACCTAGAAAAGTGGAAGGCACGTGGCGACTGAACACGGGGCCGCAACCCACTTTTGGGTCGTGACCCACCAGTTGAGAACCAAGGCACTAACGCACTGATGCATCTACAGTACAGTGGAACTCCAAGCTGAAATGCACATAAGTGAATTCGGCCACCTGTGCCCAGTTGTCTCTTTACAGCTATGCCCCCATCCTGCTCGCAATGATCACCACACGGCTCTGAGAGCTGGAATTTGGCACCGAAATCTTTAGTAGAATGATGGAGTCATCTTCCGGACTATGCAATGTGACAAACGTGTGCCATTCACAAGACCAGCCGTGTCAAATTACAATTCGGCAAGGAAATGAGGTCACGTAAAGGACTGTCGCGGACTCTAGCAGTGACATCTCCTACAATGGTTCCTCTCTGTGTTCTCCCGATCATTGTGTGTGGCCGGCTTTAGCTTTAGTCTCTGGTTAAAGATTCCATCTAAAAACCTTTGGCCAAAAGCCATGTGAGCTGCCACCATACATAGGATGATGTGTGGCCCGTCGTACCTGGACGGACACAACAATTGATAGCAGTGACATATTAACGCAGGTCAATATTTACACCAGAGCAAAGTCTCCCATCACCTGGTCTCGGCATCACATAGATAATGAGAGCGAGACCGCAAATCGCGCCAAGGACAACAGCAGATTGCGCAACACTCGGCGGGTGCAAAGCAGCGTGATGCTCATCCATCAACTGCGTCACACTTTATTTCTAAATAAGATCTGAACGTTCTTTTGTACACGGGACTCCTAAGCTGGTTCTTTAACGGATATTAACAAAGGGAGGGATAAATCCCAGGGGCCAGGTCGCCGATACGCCTTAAAAAATAACAGCTGGCGCCCAACTTTTTAGGTTTTCTCTAGTTTTCAATGGCGCTGCCTTCTCCTGGATTGGACAGACTGGCTCCTGAATCCCATATTCATTTGTCCGCCCCTCCCCCCCCCCGGCTTAACATTTGTATTTGGTTACATTTTGATGTAGAGTTGGTCAAATGACATATACTTAATGTTAAAGTAGTATTAAGGTCTGGGAGTTTTTTTACCTTAATGCATTCTCTGCATTCGGGTAAAAACTGCTCAGAACCTTTTTCTCCCCCAGTCACCCCTACACTTACCTGTCAGCTACGCTCGTCCCCGCCGCCGGTCCCGAAGCAATTCTCCGTTCCCCGAACTTCCGGGTTGCGGGGGACGATACTGATGGCAGAGGAGCCATTGGCTCCTTCTGCCATCAATCAAAGTGTTGGTCAGAAAGAAGGGGCGTGGCCTGCCACAGGGCTGTGTGTGTCTATGGATGTAAACAGCCACTGCGGGCACAGGTGCCTCCGTTAGCCGGTGGAGGCACCCGTACAGGGGGCGGGGGGAAGAGCGCTGCGGGGACCCACTAGAAAAAGAGGAATTTAAAACTTTTAAAGAAAAATAACATCCTCAGGCGAAAGTGGCTGTCCTAATAGCAACTATTTAAAAAAAAAAAAAAAAAAGGTTTATTATCGCTTTAAGAGCCCGTCCTCACCTACTGTATGTATTATAGGGGCACACCTAAACAATTCATTCAGTTTGTATCCAATCAGGATGATCCTTACACTGCAGAGTCGATCTAAAGCTAGATCTTATGAGATTTTACAATTAGATTGGATAGTTTGTGGTTTGTTGTACTCATTAACTTATCAGTTGTATACAATACCTCTCTACTGGTGAACGCGCAGCCTACCCCCCTAACCCAGCCCCTCTCAACCAGGGCACTGTGGTACCCAGGAGTGCCTTCTGGCCTCCTCAGGGGTGCCTCAGAATTTTGTGGTAGTGGAACTGTGATGTGAAGGGGGCAATGGAGACTGATATAAAAGAGGGGGAATGTGACAGGGGGCTTCTGATGCAAAGAGAGGGATTTTTATCTGAAGGGGGCACTTTGATGTTAAGGGGGAACCCCACTCACGTGTGTTTTTGCGTAGGGCCCCAAGATTTTCCATACTTTTAAAGGGAGCCATGACTAAAAAAAAAAGGTAGAGACACACTGCCCTGACCTCACTCGAGCACAGCCTTGTTTCCTCTATGAGATAAATGTGTCAGCTGACATTGCTGGTCTTCTGAAAATGCTTGTTCCCTGGCTCTCTCCCAACTTCTAAGCCGAGTCACTGGGCCAGAACAAACCGGCAGCAAATTAGGGCAGAACTCCTGATGTGAATACTAGTTCCAGGTTAATGCCGTAATCAGTGGCGTCACAAGTGGGGTGCAGGGGGTGACATTGCAAGGGTGACACCAAAATGACTGACAGTCATTTTGGTATCACCCCCCCTTCTAAAAAGTCGGGCACTCGGTCATGGACCGAAAGCCCGACAGTGTCAGGAGAGAGGCGGCATACCTCATCCCGGCGGGTGAACGTCCCCTCCTCTCTCTGCCGGCATCCATCACCAAGATCACCGGTAGGCACCATTTAGATGGTTGCACATATGCGATTACGTCATTGCGCGAGGTGACGTCACGGCGGGATGTCACCCGGACTAGAGACCGGGTGACACCCGACCTCGGGGCGCCCCTGGCGTAATACCCCCACAAAATGGTGTTTTCACACATAGAGCAAACAAATGCTGGAAGGTTGATGGTCTCCTGTCTAAATTGGCCCTACATGTGAGATAGGGACCTTAGATTGTGAGCTGCTTGAGGGCAGGGACTGAGGTGAATGTGCAACTATGTAAAGTGCTGCGTACATTGTTTCTGCTATATAAATACTAGAGATGCAGCGATATATCGGACGCCGAAACATATCGGCCGAAAATGGCACTTTTGGCATAATGCCGAAAGTGCCATGTTTCGTTTCGGCCGATACATCGGCGCATCCCTGCTTTCTCTCCTCCCCGTGTGTGTCCCAGCGGGGAAGAGAGAGTGTCACAGGTGGCCGAGCACTGTGGGAGGAGAGCGATGTGAGTGGCCAGTGTCTCTCCTCCCACACCGCTCGGCCGCCTATCACAGTCCGGCAGAGCGGTGTGTGGGCGGAGACAGCCAGCGCTGTCACAGAAGGCTGAGCTCTCCTCCCTGCACCGCTCACTCAGCCTCCTGTGACAGCGTGTCAGGAAGGAGAGCGAGTGCAAACACTCAGCGGTCAGTGATCGCTGAGTGTTTGTAGATAATTG